ATTATGGGCTGATTTAGTTTATGGGTATTGCTAATTGTTAGTTTAAATGTTGTTTAGAAGTGAGTTCAATTAGTAATTGTGGTTTAATTTAAGAATTGTAGTTGCACATGCAGTTCTACCCTTGTGTTTTTGGTTTGCTCGAGAGAGATGTTTTAAAACTAAGCTTATTGATTGATAGTCAATGGGTACTGGGTTGACATGGGTTCAGCTCGAGAGAGTGTATCCTAAACTCAATCCCACATATTCAGCTCGAGAGAGTGAATGGAACTAAGGTGTGGGCTGTCCTTATTTTTCATGCTTGTTGATGTTCGAGAGAAGTTGATGAGTCCATGATTTGGACTCATCTAGGGCTTTATTTGGATAGATTTAGTGTCCACAAATGCTTATTTTGTGCCAATAACTTATGTAAAATCCTTGATTTTTAGGTACTTTGATTGAGGAACAAAGCATGGACATTAATGAGCAAAAAAGAACAAGGCAGCTGAAAGAACGAAGAAAAGAAGGTCTGTTGATCGCCTAATCCATTGGGCGAGTCGCCGAATGGCTATTAACTCACCTAAAGTTCCAGTGTACCAAGCCCTGAAGGAGAATGTCAAGTCGGCGAGAGAAAGGACCAGTCAGCGTGTCACCGAACGGTTCCGCGATGCAGTGTTGGATCGCCCAAAGTTACAGAACTTACGGATGCTTAAGGCGAAAGCAAAAGGCGATGGAATTGAACAAAAGACGGATCACCGAGCTGATCGGTGATCCCAACTTACTGCACCAAATGATCCTTCGTAGCATATTTTTGGCGACTATAAATACATTTTCAAACATTATATCTATCTATCGATCTATCTATCAATATATCTAAAAAAATTCATCATATAGAATTTTTCAGTTTGAACTGAGAGTATTGAGACAAAACTTTTCCTTAGCTTTGAAGAATTGAAGTTGTCCATTTTTGAAAAATTGGAAGTGGGTCTTTTAGATTCTTGAATTTGGACTTTGTAAAGACAAAATCAATTTTAACAAGTTGATGGAAACACAATTTGGTAACGATTTTTTTATGATGTCTAGCTAAAACCCCAATTCTTGAGGTGTGATTATGTGATTATGGGTTGATTTAGCTGATGGGTATTGCTAATTTTTCGTTTAACTGCTGTTTAGAAGTCATTTCATTCAGTAATCGTGGTTAATTAAAGGATTGTAGTTGAAAATGCAGTCCTACCTTCGAGTTTTTGGCTTGCTCGAGAGAAAGGTTTTAAAACCAAAATTGCTCAATTGATGGTCTGTGGGTATTGGGTTGTCATGGGTTCAGCTCGAGAGAGTGAATTCTAAATCCTTTTCCTCGGATTCAGCTCGAAAGAATGAATGGACTAAAGCGTAGGTTGTTCTTATTTTCTTGCTAGTTGGTGTTCGAGAGAAACTAACTTGATTCGGGGTAAATTGTTCAAGATAAATTTTATCCCCACTACAGTCTAGCTTATTCACTGATTTACAACTATTTACTAATAAATGCAATTACCCATTTATCTATATTATCCTATAATTGAATCACATCCCAAGAACCCGTCTCATTATTGTTAAATTCATGTTATTTGCTGCTGTTGTAGTTGATAATTACAATCAAAACTCCCTTGTTATTTGATATTCGTGTCACCCCTTAATTTGAATTATGTTTTTTAGTCGATAATGTCTATTCCTATGATTGACTTAACAAGATTCGTACTTTTTTATTGATTCTAAAACACGTACCACTCATTGTGGGATTCAACCACAACTCATTTAGTTGGGTTATATTACTGACTAACGATCATTGGCACATAGAATTGGATGAAGTGTCCTGATAAATGAAATCAAAATGGCACCGCTGCCGAGGAGTGTTGTTGGTTGAGAATTTTTAGTTAAGTTGAATTTTGTTCTTGTTAGTTGTAGTTGAATCTACTTATTTCTAGTTTTGGTTTGCTTGTTTGTGTGTTGAAACATGAAGTATCAGTGTGAACGGAAGCAATGGTAGCCAAGTAGGACACCAAGATGACATTGGCAACCTCAACGATGTCAATGAGCCTAATGCTGATGACCATCATCTTATGGGTGGAATTGGTTCCATTCGCTTGCCGTCTATTGAAGGGAACAGAGTGTTCCATATTACCAACACTATGCTTCAGCTCTTGCAATTGAAGGGGTTGTTTGGTGGTTTGGCTCATGAGGATCCCCATGAGCATATTAGAAACTTTGTAGATGTTTGAGGACCATTCTCCTTCAAGAAGATATCCCAAGAGTGGTCCGACTGAGATTGTTCCAATTCTCTCTGATGGGTGAAGCATGCAACCGGCTGGCTGAATTGCCACGAGACTGAATCACTTCTTGGGAAAAGCTTGGCATCGCATTTCAAGTGACATTTTTCCCTCCCTCGAAGATGATGACACTTTGGGACAGCATTCAGAGCTTCAAGCGTCTGGAAGCCGAGCCAATTCATGTTTTGGGAGTTATTTGTATAGATTTAGTGTCCTCAAATACATGTTTTGTGCCAATAACTGATGTAAAATCCCTGAATTTCAGGTATTTGGATTTAAGAACAAAGCATGGACACTAATGTGCCAAAAGGAATAAAGCAAGCTAAAAGATTAAAGAAATGAAGGCCTGGTGATCGCCGATGTCATTCGATGAATCACCAAATTGCCACGATACCGCCTAAAGTTAAAGAATGTTGGAGCTAAACTGGGGGGTAATTTTGGCAAGCAGCAGTTCCATTCGGCGTGTTGCTGATCCATTCAGCGAAGGATGACCTGGTCGCCAAAAAAGCTAAAGAAGATTTAAACAAGTGCTGATGGGCGAGATAGAACGAAAAAGGGTGACTCGTGGAACTAATCGGTGATCCCGATCTGGATTGACTAAAGTACAGTAGTCAGACCAAGGAAAAGTGAAAAATGAAGGAGAGATAAAGAATAATCGGCGAGTCGCCGAACAGTCGGTGAAACCTGACTTACCTTGCCAAGTGGTCTTAAATTGCTACACTTCAGTTTTGTTTAAAATGAATTTTTTTAGAGAGAAAAAGCATTCAGAAAATGGGAAAAAGAGAAAATTAAGAGCAAAATCATTACCATTGGGATTTTCAGGGGATTTTAGAAAGATTCTTGGTTGAGATTTTGTAATAGAGAAGATTTTAGTAATTTCTAACATTTGAATTTCAATTACCCAACTGTACAAGACATGGAAGATATTGATTTTCTTAATTTTGCTATGAGTGGCTAAAACCATGTTGTTGGGGTTTCGACTATGAAGCCAATTGTTGAATTTTACTAAGTAGGTGGCGTTGAATTACAAATAATGGTGTTAATTTGAAGTGGGTTTGAGTTGCTCCTGTGTTTTGAGATTGAGTTGCATGTTTAGTGTGACAAGTTCAGTGTTGTGCGCTTGCTAGAGAGAGAAGGGAAGAGCTAAAGTAGCAAATCTTAGCATCCTTATTAGTGGGTTACCATTGTTTCAGTTTGAGAGAGTGAAACATGGGATCTATCATTTCTATTCGTCTCGAGAGAGTGGATTTGATGAGGACCAAGGGATGGGCATCTTCCCATTAGTGTTGAAGTTCGAGAGAACTCGAGATAGAAAAGGTAATTGTTCGATAGAAAGTTACTTTACATATGGTCTGACCTACCCACGACAAATTATCCCTATTGTGAGCATTAATATTCACCTACTAAGTTAAAATTCGACAATTTGTTTGTCATTACCCCAAGTCTTACTTTACTATTTGTGTTGAAGTGTGAAATTGGAAATGATAATTGAAATTTGGTATATGAAATTAAAACCAAAAAGGTGTAACTAGTATTCAATTGAAAAGATTGTTGTCACACTTTCAGTATTGAATTAGAAGGAAAGACTACTCCCTGTGGAATTCGACCCCAACTCACTAGTTGGGTTATATTACTGACTAACGATCGTTAGCACTTAGTATTCGTCGAAGTGTCCTGATACGTTAATCAAATAGGCGCCACTGCCGGGGAGTAGCATTACTTACAGTTCTTTGATTGAAGGTTTGACACTCTTGAATTTGTGGTTGTAGTTGAATTAGCTTTGGCTGCTTTGTGTAAGTATTGGTTGAACTACATGGAAGTGAGCATGAGTGAGAAAGAGATGAATGAAAGTCAAGCAAGTCATTGGGATGGTATCGACGATATCAAGTGTTTATAACCCAGCTCAATCGGGTGGGATGAGTGCAATTTTCATCCCACAAGCTGATGAGAATGCATTGTTTGAAGTCACTAGCACAACTCTTCATATACTCCAAATGAGAGGACTATATGGAGGGATAGAACACGAAGACCCGCATGAGCATGTACGAAACTTTACAGAGGTTTGCATCCCATTTTCATTCAAAAATGTGTCATAAGAGTCAATCCGACTGCGGTTATTTCCACTATCCTTAACGGGAGATTCTAGTAAGTGGTTAGCCGAGTTACCAAACAATTCCATCACATCATGGGAGGAGCTAAGTATAGCATTCAATACAAGGTTCTTTCCTCCATCAAGGATGATGAAACTTAGAGACGATATTCAAAGTTTCAAGCGACGGGACGGGGAACCTATCCATGAAACATGGGTGAGGTTTAAGAAACTCTTACTTAAATGCCCAACTCATGGGCTACCAAACGATTTGTTACTCCAATATTTTTACCGGAGTCTTGATTCGGTTAATAAAGGAGTGGCTGATCAATTGGTACGAGGAGAAATAATGTTACAATCATTTGAGGTGACTTCGTTCCTTCTTGATGACATGACCAAAATTAACCAAGCGTGGTACACCCAAGAGGGTCAAGTCTCTCCATTTTGTTTTAGATTAATGCAAGAGCAACTTGATAAAGAGAGAGAGAGATGAAAACATCAAGAAGATGTTAACCCAAATGGAATTCTACAAGATCATATGAAGGGGACATGTACAGTGTTTAGAGTTGAGGACGGTTCTTCTTCCGGTTACTCAAGGCCGGGGGAGAACCAAGGTTGGAACTTCAAGAGATATGAGGAGGGTTTCTACCAACGCTATCTACAGCGAGGTCGAAATCAAGGTTGGAACTATCAGAAGTGAGAAGAGCAAAGGAGATACTATCAAGATTGGGTTGAGCAAGGTTATTATTGGAGAAGGGGAGATGATCATTATGAGAACCATACTCACTCGAGTGAGAGCCCAAAATCGAAAGGGAGTCCAAGTAGTCCTCCGGTGAATGACTTGTTGTCACGCATACTTGATAAAGTTAAAGGTTTAAATGATTTGTTTAAACGGATGAAGGATGACTTTTCATCATTAAACAGTAAAGTGAACTCTCATGTCGACGCCATCAAGATACTTGAAGGTCAGTTGAGTTTACTGTCCGCACAATTGAAACCAAAGTTCGCAATGGAAAATAACAATAAAGAGCTGGCAGTGGTTACTTGTAGCGGAAAAGTAGCAATAGGTGATGTGACGGGAAATGAAGAAGCTCAAAAGCATGGAGATGATAAAGGCATGGAGGAACAAGAGATATTTATCCATCAAAGCATTGCCAAAGAACCACAAAGAGAAGTGGAACAACACATCCTAATCCCAAAAGTCATGCAACCTTTACCCAAAATACCTCCCCCATTTTGCCAACGCCTAAAGAAGAAGAATAATGATGAGAAGCTCAAGAAGTTCTTATCAGTGTTTATGACATTATCAATTAATATTCCCCTTTTGGAGGCATTGTGGGAAATATCGGGATACGCCAAGTTCATGAAAGAATTAGTCAAAAAGAAAAGAAGCTTGGATTTTGAGGCAATTGAAGTTTCCCACACTTGTAGTTCAATTATAACTAAGGAGCTGATAAAAAAGAGAGAAGTTCCTGGGGCAATCACCATTCCTTGCACCATTGGCATGCTCAAATTTGCTAAAGCATTATGCGATTTGGGAGCAAGCATCAACTTAATGCCCTATGCGATCTACAAACAACTAGGGTTGGGTGAACCGAAAGCAACCACAATGAGACTATTGTTGGAAGACCGTTCAATCAAACATCCCGTGGGGATACTTTATGACATGTTGGTGAAGGTCAATCGGTTCATTTTCCCGATTGATTTGTTCATTCCAGATTGTGAAATAGATGATGAAATTCCCATTATTCTGGGAAGACCATTCCTAGCAACCGAAAGAGCATCGGTTGATGTTGAAAGCAGAGAATTGAAATTTCAGGTGATGAAGATGAAGTAACCGTCAATGTTTGTAAATCAATGTAACACTCAAGTGATATTCATATGGTGTCCACCATTGATGTAATTGGTGAGGCGGTATCTAGCGTGAGCCATTTGATGTGCATAAGCGAACCACTTGAAGTCATGCTTGCTAGCTATGATGAATTTGAAATTCAAGGCTATGAAGAGGTAGTAACTGCTATTTTAGGTTTGGGAGGATATTCAAAGACTCCATCAAAGTTAGACATTGATTTGAAAAATAGAGAGAGTCCTCCCGCAAAGCCATCAACAGAAAAACCACCAAATCTGGAATTAAAAGTACTTCCCCCCATCTCCGATATGCTTTCTTGGGGGAAATAACACTCTACCGGTGATCATTGCAGCTGAATTGCTTGAATGGCAGGTGAAATTGCTTCTTGAGGTGCTACGAAGGCATATCAAAGCTATAGGTTGGACCATAGCTGACATAGTGGACATTCCTCCCAGTATTTGTACTCACAAAATTCTGCTTGACAGTGATGTAAACTGAGTGTCGAACATCAGTGGAGATTGAACCCACCAATGCAAGAAGTAGTGAAGAAGGAAATTATAAAGTGGTTAGACGTAGGTGTGATCTACCCTATTGTGGATAGCAAATGGGTAAGCCCGGTGAAATGTGTACCAAAAATGAGAGGTATCACAGTGATCCTAAATGAAAAAGGGGAGCTTGTATCTATGAGGTCGGTGACCGGATGGAGGGCATGCATGGATTACCGAAAGTTAAACTCGTGGACTGAACAGATCAGTTTCGCATGCCCTTCATGGATCAAATTCTTGATCGGCTTTCAGAGAGAAGTTGGTATTGCTTTTAGGATGGGTATTCCGGTTACAACCAAATCTCCATTGCTTCGGAAGACCAAGAGAAAACCACCTTCACATGTCCCTATGGGACTTTTGCCTTTAAAAGGATGCCATTCGGATTATGCAATGCTCCGACAACATTCCAATGTTGCATGTTATCTATCTTTGCTGACATGGTGGAGGATTCAATGGAGGTATTTATGGATGACTACTCAGTTGTGGGTGATAATTTTGAGGCATGTTTAGAACACTTAGGACAAGTTCTCCAAAGATGTATGGAGACAAACTTGGTTCTCAATTGGGAAAAATGTCATTTCATGGTTAAAGAAGGGATAGTACTTGGTCACAAAGTGTCGTAAAAAGGGCTAGAGGTTGATAAAGCGAAGATTGAAGTGATTGAGAAATTACCACCATCAATTTCGGTGAAAGGGGTTCGTATTTTCTTAGGTCATGCCGGTTTCTACCGGAGGTTCATCAAAGACTCATCAAAGATTGCACATCCTCTATGCAAACTCTTAGAGAAAGAGGTGAAATTCCAATTCGATGATGCTTGTATGGTGGCTTTCCGGTGCTTGAAGGGGAGATTAGTATCCACCCTGATCATTATTAGTCCTGATTGGTCAGAATCTTTCGAGGTAATGTGTGATGCTAGTGGAACGACATTGGGTGTTGTGCTGGGGTAAAAACACAACAAACTATTTCACCCAATTTACTACACTAGTAAGACTCTAAACAGTGATCAACATAACTGTATTATTATTGAACAATAGTTGCTTGCGGTAGTGTATGCATTTGAGAAGTTTCGGGTATACTTGTTAGGTACTAAAGTGATTGTTCACACCGATCATGCTGCATTCTGTTACCTAATGGCAAAGAAGGATGCAAAGCCAAGGTTGATAAGGTGGGTGTTTGATGAGTCCACAAATTGGACTCATTTAGGGCTTTATTTTGATAGAAATAGTGTCCTCGAATGCTTATTTTGTCTCAATATCTGATGAAAACTCTTAAGTTGCTGGTATTTGAAGTTTTAGTAGAAACATTGATACTTAGGCGCAAAAAGAAACAAAAAGGCTGAAAAAGAGTGAAGAAGTTGAAGCATGAGCTCCGCCAAGCACACTTGATGAATCGCCAAAGGGACATATTCTGTCCTTTGTTCCAGTATGCGAAGCCCTAAAGGAAGAGGATAAAAAAGGCAATGATAGGAGCAGTCGGCGCTTCGCCGAATAGTTTCGTGAAGCAGTACTATACTGCCCAATGGTCCAAAACATGAAGATGCTGAAGGCAAGCACGAAACAATGATGAGACAGAAGAAGGGAGAGTCGCCGAGTCATTCGGCGACCTCGAGTAACTTCGCCGAGCAATCCGCCAACATTAATTTCTGAAGTCTATAAATACTTAACTTTTTATTAATTTTAGGGAGTCAATTTTACTATTATAATTTCCAGAATAGAATAGTAGTTTTTGGGACATTTTTCTCTCAAGTTTGGAGAGGGTTTTTGAGAGGGAATTTATTTCCATTTAAAGCGTAGCCTAGTCACTATTATCTTGCAAATTTCCTATCGAAAGCATGTACCCAATGATTTATCTCAAATTGTATTGCGGTCACACCCCAAGAACTTTTTGCCCATACTTGATTTTCTTGTTAATTTTTGCTATTTTTACTACTTGTGACAAAACCCCCATTTGATATTTAACACTTTAGTGTTGCCCCCTTTAATTTACTATGTTTTTGTTCGTTAATATCTTTAGCTACGACTAGTTAGAGCTAAACTTTATTTTTCTATTGATTCTCAAAACCACTCCCTTGGGACGGCCCCAACCCTTGGTTGGGTTATTATACTATTGCACGATCGTAGACACTTGAATTAGAAGTTGTGTCATTGAATACGGCAAACATCATAATGGCACCGCTGCCGGGGAGTGGTGTTATTTGAGAATTTTTAGTTTAATAGAATTTTTGTTCTTCTTAGTTGTAGTCTACTTACCTAATTTTCAGTTTTGTTTTGAGTGTTTGTGTGCCACAACAGGACATATGAGTGCAAACGGGGAGAATAGTTGCCAAGCGGGTAACTCAAGAGGTGGTGTTTTTCATCAAGACGACATCAATGATGCTAATAGTGTTTATAACTCTACCGATATGGGAGAGATGGGTGCAATTTGCATGCCAGAAGCTAACGGAAAGGTAATGTTCGAAGTTACCAGTGCAATACTCCACATCATACATTCAAGAGGTTTATTTAGAGGGCTAGAGCATGAAGATCCTCACGAACATGTATGGAGCTTTGTGGAAGTGTGCACCCCTTTATCATTAAAAAACCTATATGAAGAATCCATACGGTTTCACTTATTTCCATTATCATTGACTGGGGGAGCTACTAAATGGTTGGTTGAGCATCCCAACAACTCCATTGAATCATAGGAGGAGCTGGTTATGGCATTTCATGAAAGATTCTTCACACCATCAAGAGTGATGAAGTTGAGAGATGATATTCAGAATTTCAAGCAAAATGAGGGTGAACCAATTCACGAGTAATGGATTAGGTTCAAGAGATGTTTGCATAAGTGCCCAACACATGGAATGCCAGGTGAATTGCTGCTCCAATACTCTGGACTTAGTTAACAAAGGGATAGCTAATCAATTGGTGCAAGGAGGAATAATGTTACAATCATTTGAAGTAGCCTCATTTCTCCTAGATGGTATGACTAAAGTAAACCAGGCATGGTATACCAAAGATGATCAAATTTCCCCACTATGTTTCAGGTTAACGCAAGAACAAATCGAAAAAGGGAGAGGGACAAAAACATCAAGAAGATGTTATCTCAAATGGAAATCCTACAAAAACACATGAATGGGACACGGGGAGTATTTCGAGTTGAGGATGGTTCTTCTTCCGGTTACTCAAGACCGGGAGAGAACCAAGGTTGGAACTGCAGAAGATACGAGAAGTGTTGCCACCCACACTATCAACCGCAGTGTGGAAATCAAGGTTGGAATTACTATAGTGGTTAATAACCAAGGAGATGTTGGCAAGATAGGGGTGAGCGGGATGATCAAGGGAAGACCATACTTATTTTAGCAAAAGCCTGAAATGTAAAAGGAGTGCAAGTACTCCTCGGGTAAATGATTTGTTATCACGCATACTCGATAAAGTCGAGGGCTCTGATGATTTGCTAAAACGGATGAAAGATGACTTTTTATCATTGAACAGTAAAATGAATTGTCATGCTGATGCCATCAAATGCTGGAAGGTAAATTGAGTCTATTATCAGCTCAATTGACGTCCAAAACACCGATGGACTATAGTGAAAGAGAGCTAGTTGTGGTTACCCGTAGCGGTAAAGTGGCAATAGAGAATGTGATGGAAGATGAGGATCCTCAAAAACATGAAGAGGGCCAAGGTGTGGAGGAACAAAATTTACCTATTCGACTAAACCTCACTAAAGAACCACAGAAGGAACCAAAGCAACAAGTTCAAGTTCCAAAAGTCATACACCCTTTACCCAACATACCTCCACCATTTCCCCAACGTTTGAAAAAGAAGAACGAAGATGAGAAGTTCAAAAAAAATTTGTCAGTATTCAAGAGCTTATCGATTAACTTCCCTCAGGTAGAAGCATTGTTGGAAATGTCGGGATATGCCAAATACATGAAAGAACTAGTTACAAAGAAAAGGAGTTTGGACTATGAAACGATTGAGGTGCCCCATAGTTGCAGTGCAATTATGACAAATCATTCAATCACTAAGAGAGAGGATCCTGGGGCATTCACAATCCCGCGCAAGATTGGCATGCTCCATATCGCTAAAGCCTTGTGCGATTTAGGAGCAAGCATCAACTTGATGCCCTATGCAATATACAAGAAACTTGGTTTGGGTGAACCAAAGGCAACCACAATGAGTCTCCTTATGGCTGATCGATCAATCAAGCACCCAATGAGGGTACTCTTTGACATATTGGTAAAAGTGGATCGGTTCATCTTTCCAGCTGATTTTGTGATTCTAGATTGTGAGATCGATGTTGAAAACCTCATTATTTTGGGAAGGCCATTCTTAGCGATTGGGAGAGCATTGGTGGATGTTGAAAGCGGGAAATTGAAGTTTCGTGTGAATGATGATGAGAGTGACCTTCAATATCTGTAAATCCATGAAGCAACCAAGTAATATCCATGTGGTGTGTACTAAGGATGTGATAGATGAGGTAGTGGTAAGTGTGAGTCATTTAATGCGCAAAAATGAACCCCTTGAATCTTTACTTGCCAATTATGAAGAATTTGAAATTCAGGGTTACGAGGAAGTGGTAGTTGCTTTATCAGGATTATGAGCATATTCAAGGAATCCAATCAAGTTAGAAATCGACCTGAAAAACAGAGAAAGTCCCCCCTGCAAAGCCATCAACAGAAGAACCACCAAATCTGGAGTTAAAAGCCCTACCCTCTCATCTCAAATATGACTTCTTAGGAACCAATAATACTTTATCGGTAATTATCACCGCCAATCTGCTTGAAGCGCAGCTGAAATTGCTCATTGAAGTACTGCAGAAGCATATAAAAGCTATTGGATGGACAATAGCCGATATAGTAGGAATTCCTCCCAGCACTTGAACACACAAGATTCGGCTCGACAGTAAATGTAAACCTAGTGTGGAACATCGACGGAGATTAAACCCTCCAATGCAAGAGGTGGTAAAAAAAGAGATCATCAAGTGGCTAGATGCGGGAGTGATCTACCCTATTGCAGATAGTAAGTGGGTAAGTCCGGTGCAATGTGTACCGAAAAAATGAGGTATAACGGTAGTCCCAAATTCAGAAGGAGAACTTTTGCCAACAAGACCAGTGATTGGGTGGAGAGTATGCATGGACTATCGAAAGCTTAATTCATGGATCGATAAAAACCATTTTCCAATACCTTTTATGAATCATATGCTTGACCGGTTATCAAAAAGAGGGTGGCATTGTTTTTTGATGGGTACTACGACTACAATCAAATCTCTATTACACCGGAAAATCAAAAGAAACCCACTTTTTACTTTCCTTTATGGAACATTCACATTCAAAAAGATGCCATTCGGGCTATGTAATGCCCCAACAACATTTCAGCATTGCATGTTGTCTATTTTTACAGATATGGTACAAGACTCTATGGAGGTGTTGATGGACGACTTCTCAGTCGTAGGGGATACGTTCGAAGAGTGCTTGACTCACTTAGGACAGATCCTCCAAAGATGCGTGGAAATGAATCTGGTTCTGAATTGGGAGAAATGTCACATTATGGTAAAACAATGTATTGTTCTTAGGCATAAGGTGTCGCAAAAGGGGCTGGAAGTTGATAAGGCACAAATTGAGGTCATTGAGAAATTAACCCCGCCGATTTCAGTAAAAGGTGTTCACAGCTTCTTGGGGCATGCAGGATTTTACAAAAGGTTCATTAAAGACTTTTCGAAGATTGCACTCCCACTATGCAAACTCTTCGAGAAGTGAAATTTCACTTTAATGATGCTTGTGTGGCTGCATTTCAATGTTTGAAAGAGAAACTAATATCCACTCCGATTATCATCACCCCTAATTGGTCCGAATATTTTGAGTTAATGTGTGACGCTAGCGGTATGGCACTGGGGGTTGTGTTGGGGTAAAAGTGCAACAAACTGTTTCACCCAATTTACTATGCAAGCAAGACTCTAAATAGTGCCCAGCAAAATTATACGATCACCGAACAAGAGTTCCTTGCAGTAGTTTATGCATTTGAAAAATTCAGGTCATACTTGCTAGGCACCAAAGTAATCGTACACACTGATCATGCTGCACTCCGGTACTTGAAGGCAAAGAAAGATGCAAAACCACAATTGATTAGGTGGGTACTAATATTACAATAATTTGATTTCGAGGTGAAGAATCGAAGAGGATGCGAAAATCAAGTGAATGATCATTTATCAAGATTGGAAGAATGGGCAAATGTTGAGCATGAGGTTGACATAGACGACTCTTTCCCCGATGAACGAGTGTTTGCAATATCCCTCAAACACACAATGTGGTATGCAGATTTTACAAATTACATTGTGTGTGGGATAATGCCGGATGAGTTGACCTTTTACCAACAGAAAAGATTCTTATTCAATGATAAAAAGTACTTTTGGGATGAACCATACTTGTTCCGAGAGTGTGTTGACCATGTTATCAGGAGGTGTGTGCCGGAAGAAGAAGCAGTAGAAATTCTCCATGCTTGCCATACATCTCCAGTGGGAGATCACCATGGTGGTATTCGCACTGCCGCTAAAGTTCTCCAGAATGGATACTACTGGCCGTCACTCTAGAAGGATGCACATGAGTTTGCAAGGCGGAGTGTCCAGAAGACAGGAATTACCTCTCACTTCTATTTTAGAGGTCGAGCTATCGATGTATGGGGGATGGATTTCATGGGCCCATTTGTGGGCTCGTTTAGAAATAAATTTATCTTAGTGGCTGTAGATTATGTTTCCAAATGGGTGGAAGCCACCGCACTTCCAAACAACGAAGGAAAAAGCATTGTCCAATTCCTAAAATGATGTATCTTTGCAAGATTTGGCACTCCGAGAGCAATCATTAGCGATGGGGGATCCCACTTTTGCAATAAGTGGTTCTCAATGACACTGAATAAATATGGGGTGAAACACAAAGTGGCAACCCCATATCATCCCCAAACAAGTGGCCAAGTCGAAGTGTCGAATCGGGAAATCAAAAGCATCTTGGCAAAGACAGTAAATGTCAATAGAACTGACTGGTCTAAGAAACTCATGATGCACTATGGGCATATCAGACTGCTTACAAAACACCTATCGGGATGTCTCCATATCAGTTGGTTTATGGTAAAGCTTGTCATTTGCCCGTCGAGTTAGAACACAAAGCATTGTGGGCATTAAATGCTTTAAATTTAGACTGGTCAAAAGCTTCAACGGAGAGAGTAGAGTAGTTGAATGAACTCGATGAATTGAGACTCAAATCATATGAAAGTTCAACCATCTATAAAGAAAAGATGAAGAAATGGCATGATGCTCGGATACTCAAGCGTGACTTCAAAGTTGGGTTTTGCTATACAACTCGCGAGTTAGACTCTTCCCCGGAAAGCTCAAATCCAAATGGTCTGGACCATTTAGAGTCATGCGAGTGTTCGTCAATGGTGCCATAGAAGTTGAAGATCAAGAAGGACCGCCATTTACAGTGAACGGTCAACGTTTGAAATTGTATCTGGGGATTGTCAAGAGATTTCGTTTGGTTGAAATGGTATATTTGGAAAACACCTGAAGGAACTGCTGCGTCGTGCCACAACGTTAAGTAAGGCGCTGTTTGGGAGGCAACCCAAAACCTTTTAAGTATTTCTTAATTACCAGTAGAATAATGGTGTGTTGTTTGTACAACTTAGGCCAAAAGAAAAGGTAAATCAAGAAGTACCCCTTTGTCCATAGTTTTGAAAAAGATGGAACCCCTCCATACAAAAAAAGAGAGAGAAAGAAGAAAAAAAACGAAGAATGAAAAAGAAAACGAACTAAAAAGTTGTGAAATAAAGTTGTGAAAATTGCAAAAGAAATGGTGTGTCCATTATTCCATGGGAAATGAATAATGGGGTGAATTTTGGGCATGGGTAAAAATTTTGAAGAAAAGGAAAGAAAGTGATGTTCATACCACATTTCATGAGGATAGCAACCATTGAACCTAAATGACCATACCTTTACACTCAGCCCCGTTACGTTCCTTGAAGAGACCTTTTTGATCTTGAGTAAGCTGAAGCGAGTGTTGATTGAAAAATAAGGGAAAACCTATGGGTGAAGTCATTCATGTGCTCATCCTTGTGAGTGTGAGAGTTGTTAGTTATTTCAGAACTTAAATCTGTTGAACAATTGTGTGAATATGGAATCATTCTTGTGTGAGGGCATTTGAATACATTTGTTAAGCTTGAACTTGCATTTGAAGCAAGTATTGTGAACTTGAGAATCTTTGATGATGGTGAGTCACAACTTGAATCTTTAAGTGCATAATTGATCCATGCATGAGTAAGTTGAGTCTAGTTGTGTGCATTCATGATTGAGTCTTTTGTGCACTGTTTTAGACATCATTTTTGAACTGTTGAGCTTGAGTTTTACTTGAAGACGAGCAAAATTTTAAGTAGGGGATGTTGATGAGTCGGAGATTTGAACTCATTTAGGGCTTTATTTATATAGAATTAGTGTTCTCAAATGCTTATTTTGTGCCAATAACTGATGTAAAACCCTTGATTTTAAGGTATATGGATTGAGGAACAAAGCTAGAACACTAATTTGCAAAGAGGAACAAAGCAAGCTGAAAGTATGAAGAAAATTAAACCTGGTGATCGCCATGTCTACTTGGCGAGTCACCAAATGGCTACTTGACCACGTAAAGTTCAAGTGTGCCAAGCCCTGAAGGAAAGAACCAAGTTGGCGAGAAAAAGAGCAGTCGGTGGATCGCCGAGTGGTTCCGTGATGCATTGTTTGATCGCCTAGTGATTTATCTATATTTCTGTCATTTATTGCTACTGAGTAGTTAGCACTTATTATAAACTTAAATTTTTGGTATATAAGCTTACCTCTTACTGCACTTATTATACTTTTTTCTAGGGGTTGTATAATTCTATCATCCGCTAAGTATATTTCTATGGGTGTATCTATTCCTTCTCTAAAACATACTTTTATTAATATTTCTGTTCCTCCTAAATATATATATTTAATTGGATTTTTAGCCTTAATATCTTGTATTTCTTTATTTATTATTCGTTTATTTATTATTGATATTTTGGCCTTTCCTTTAGTGTATTTGCAATCTATGATATGTTCTCTTTGACTTACTACATAATATTCTTCTTTTTGTCGTTTAAACCAATTTCTTGCTATTGGTATTTCGAATATTTTTGCTACGCTTAGGTTTAATTCTTTTTCTTTTATTTGTTCAAATATACTATTATCAAATATTATTTTCTGTTCTAAATATTCTTCGTCTTGATGTTCTTCTTTATTTATTGTTTGTATATCTGCTTCAGTCATTTGTTATATTATAGAATTCATTATCTGATTCTATTTCTATGTCATTATCTATTTCATTTTCCGATAATTCATATATACTATCATTGCTTTCTAATTCATAATCTACGTATTCTATTTGTGTATATTTTTCATCGTCTATTATTATTTCTGATATTTGTTTTTTCTTTGGATTTTTAGGTAATTTACAATCTCTAGCTATATGTCCTAATTTTCCACAATTATAACAAGTACATTCCGTTAGTTTTCTTTTTGGTCTATATGGTCTTTTGGTTTTGTAATTTTTTACATAGTACCTTCTTCTTGGTTTTTATATTTATATTTTGATCTATATTTTTTATTATATTTCTTTCTATTTTTGTAATACTTATCCGTACAACCAAATTGGGGTACTGTTTTATTTTTGCAACATACCAAGTTTTTTGCTAATATTTTTTCTATTTTTATTTCTTCTTTATGTTTTTCACATAGTTCCATAAACCATCGTTGTAAGAATTTTATTCTAGCTCCTAAGGTGTCCGTTAATTCTGTTTCATCCCAACTTTTTATTATTTTTGAATTAAAAGGTTCTGGTAATTTTGTAAAATATAATTTTCTTATTTCTTTACTTTCTTCTGTGCTATATGTTCCTTTATAATAGTATTCTCTAAATGCACATGTATATTCATCTATGTAACACATATTATATATTGCTGATTTTTTCATTAGATTCCAATTTATGATCTTTTCTTTATTTTGTTCTTCTACCTCTGTTGTCATACTACTAAAATCATTTCTTATAGCTATTTCATATTTATATAATATTTCCATAGTTGTAGTGACTATTCCACCATCAAATTTTTTACTATTTCTTAAAGTTGTTAAGCTTTCACTTGTTAAATTTTGTAGCCATAATTTTACTGTTCCTATAAGTGTTCTTTCTATGTATCCTGGTGCTTCTGTTGTTGTTATTTTGTTATCTACTAATTGTTTTGATATGTATCCTATCCATAACTGAATTTTTTTATTTATATCTGCTACACAGTCTAAATCTAAAAAATCATATTGTCCAGTTATTGGTTTAGGCGTCCATTTTTTATTTAATCTTTTATCCCAAGTAGTTTTTTCTTTATCATTTTGTTCATAATTTTTATTATAATATTTTGGATTAAATTTTTTTGGGTTTTTTACTCCTGATGTGCTAGGTTTTTCGTCCATATCTACGTTATTAAATACGTCTTCTGTATTTACTTCTAAATTCTTTGTATTATCTAGGTTTGCTAAAAGTTCTGTATATGTTTCGCTTGTTTCCGAATGCTGTTCTAGATCATCATCGTTTATTTCATCAACTCTTATTTCGGGTAGATTATCATTTTCTTCTTTTTCTTCTATTTCATCTTCTAGTTTCAATCTTTCTTTAAATTTAATTATCTCATTTGTTAATTTCGTTTTTTGTTCTTTTTTCTTTTTGTTTTATTTCATACATTTCTTTTAATATTGCTAGCTCTTTTTCTAGTTCAATTATTTTGGTATTTTTTACTTCTTCTAATTGTTGTACTTCCTTTTTTGCTTGTTGTTTTATTTTTTCAATTTCCGTTTTTCTATATATTTCTTCATTTTCTTTTGTTATTCTTATCATAGCAGTTAAACTATCTTCTAGTTTTACCGTTTCTTTTTCTAACATTAAACTTATATTATCACTTATTTTCTTATATCTTCTTCCTAGATTAGAAAATATTATCTTTATTTTTAATCCGTCATAATTTTCATATGTTTTTTCATCTATTGCATATTCTTCTTTATTCATTTATAAATTATGTTGTAGTTTATATTCTAAGTTATTTATTTGTATTTCTAGATATAAAATAGTCTTTCTTTGTGCTATTATAGATTTGTGACAAATTCCTGCGAATATATTATTGTTAAGTCTATTTTGTCTATGTTCTAATTCTTGTCGTTTTTTCTATAATTACTTCATTAAGTTTTTGTCTATAGTCGCTATTCTTGTTATTCATTGTATTTTTAAGTATTGAATATATTTATATTCTATTTTAGATATATTATCTATTAACTGATTTAATTTTTCGTTATCAGTTTTTGTGATATTAAGTAGTTTTAATTTGTTCAATTTTCTTTGTATTTTTCTTAATTTTCTACTCGTATGTTTCTTACCGTGTTTCTTACCGTGTTTCTTATTATCCATAGCTCTGATACCATTTTTCGGTGCGGAATTGGTAGTTGGGGAATTCATAGAAGTGGTAGTGTGGTAGGTGAGTATTTTATTTTAAAGATTTTATTATAATATT